ATTCTCTCTCATTTTGGGATCATTATTATTATGATTTATCAGCAGCGTTCGTCTATTTTGTCTTTGCGAGTGACGACTGATTATCACGACTGGGCGCATTGCAATTTGGTATCGGAGCTCTACTTCCGACATTGTCTATCACGGTGTTCGCGTCTCTCCGACGCGATTGATTACGAGCGCGCCATTTTCTCTCCACGCTCGCATGTAAGTGATTATCGGGGATGCTCTTTCTTCGCGACATTATTGTCGCGCGAGTTTATTAACACGCTGTCTAGACATCGAGCCCGACGACGCGCGCGAAGGACATGGTGATGACGGGCAGGATATTGACTGCCGTTGGACTTTGATGCTGACGTGGCACTTCCACGTCCGCGTGAGATATTGATTGTGAACATCTTGTCAAGTGCTGATGCTATCTCGCCGACAAAACAGAGTTGCCGCATTGCTATTTCGCCAGCCAGAGACGAGAATAGCTGATTATTTGGCTCCTTGATTACTCGCTGGTACTGGCGAGATCAAGCGCTGACGTGGCAGACTTTGATTGGACTTGGGATACGACGAGAAGACTCGTGAAGCGCAGCATTGTTGGAGATCACCTTCACGAACGGATCTGGGTAATGAGAGAAAGCGGAGCGGCCAGCATTCACCGCTGAAGCCACCCCCACGATCTTTGATTGGTTCGAAGTGCTGACTTGGCGAAAGCTGAGTTGGCATACCGGGGGGTTTGGCTGAAGCAGGCACGACGTGCCTCGAGAAACGATTGATGCATTCCGACGTTGGGAGCGGCACGAGCGGCAGACTTTGGCTTGTGGTGCTTGATTGCTGTTGGGGTGATTAGAGTGCATGCTGACGTGGCATTGTGGGGAAGACTGACGTTGATTGGTTGTGTTGTCGGTACTTACTTGTTGTCTGGCTGTGTGTGCACACGTACCTGTGAATGCTAACGATCTTGGCCTGCTCGATTACCTGGAAGAGGAGTCATCACACGAATAGGAGAGAAAACAAAATTAGAACAGCTTATAGAAAAGACATCAATCAAGAGAATAATTAATTATTTTTATTTATTTATTTTCTTGTGAATCCTCTGCTGTACTGACGATTGAGTGGCTGTCCAGCCATCAGATAATATTGTCTGTTTCATTTTTATTTGAGAAAGGATTGGCCTGTTAAGTTTCCTGTTGACGTTAATCATGGCACCGATTGTTCAACACATGCGTCAGTCCCTGCTGACCAGGTGGGTGCCTCATCTGTTTGGTCTTGGGCATGTGCCTTATTCGGTGGGAGCAGGTAGCTCTTCGATGGAACCGCGTACACGTGCCTAGATCGAGTCACGAAGAGGTGAATTGGGAGAACTTCTCTCCCAGCTGCTGGTGGACATGGAACTCGCTGTCCCGGCCGCAAGAGAACACATCCATGGTAAGTTTGACCTTGAAGCGATCTCTGATCACTTGGCCAAAGCTACCACGGGTGTAGAGATGGTGGCGGCAGCAACAGAGATCCATAAAGTCATTGGCCAGTGTCGTGAGATATTGGACCAATTCACCATCCAACAGTTGGAAGAGATTGCCCAACGGAAAGATACCGTGCCAGAAGTAAAGGTAGAAAGTATTGAAGAGAACATACAACAGTTGAAAGAGACACTCGCGAAAGAAGAAAGTAAGCGAGAAGAACTGTTACAAAAGAAAGAACAGGAAACTAGGTTGCAGCAGAGAATGGGTAGAGTTCAGCAACACGTTTCTTTGGATGAGAAGGATGTCGCCCAGACGCTGGGGCAAATACTGACGTATCTGGCTTTCCTTGAGGAGAAATTGGACCAACAGCAGAATAGAATGGATGAATTGGTTGTTGGTCTCCACGTCATCACTAACATCGTTAAGGGGAAAGCCCCTTTGATTGAAAGTGAGGAAGGAAAAAGAAACGAGGATAAAAAAAATGACGTTAAGATTGATAAGTTGCGCATCGGCGGAATGAAAGACGGCGACGCATCCAAAAAGGAAACGGAAAAGAAACCGGAAGAGAAACCGGAAAAGAAACCCAACGGGAATGGTAATGGAAACGGGAATGGGAACGGGAACGGAAATGGGAATGGTGGTCCCAACGGTCCCCCTCCCCCTCCTAAGGACAATTCCAAATCCGCAGATCCGACTAAGCCAAAGAAAAAGGAAAAGGTGAAGATGAAATTGCCTTTTACTTTTTCTAACAAGAAAGAAGAAAACCTTCCTCTTTGGATCGCTGAGATCCAAACCTACGTTGGGACTGCCCCGGCAGAAGAAGAGTCGCAAGTTGCGTTCACCACTTCTTGTATGGGGGGAGAGGTGAAACAATGGGTTCTGGCGGAAGCTAATGCCGCGGGGTTTGACGATATAGATGATTGGGCGAAGACCATGACCTTGAAGCAGTTCCTTGCAAAAGTCAAGGACCGCTTTCTGGACAAGACTACGACCGATAAGGCCTTCGACCAACTCACCACGATAGGGCAGAAGTCCTGGTCTTCAGTTGAGTCATTGTCTCGTGAGGTTGACCGACTGTTGCAGGTTTCCGGTCTTAACCTGCAGGACTCTCAGGTCCTTTACATTTACTCGCGTGCATTGCCCGAACCGATCCGAGGGCACTTGGTCGCCGAGGCCAAGTCCGGTAAGTATAGTTACCGTCAGTTCCGCGACCTGGCGTTGCAGCGGGAACAAATGACTTCGCAAGTCAAAGGTTCCTATGCTGCTGCCGTAAAGAATGGAGGAGGAAGCAGTCGGGGAGGCTACGACAAGCGGGTCATATGGCGTCAAAAGCGCCAAGACCACACCCTCGTCGTATTCGACGACGATACAATGGAGAAATGGCCATTGGAGAACGAGGGTGCTGGTGACAGCAGCAGTGACCCCGGAAAAGGGGAGGTTACCGCTGCAACGGTCAACAAGGGAGGACTGTCATTGAACACTCGACCGAAGGGAAGACCACGCTCCTTCCCATACCATCCTGGGATTGCGGTCGGCAGACCGTGGCTGAAGATGGGACTAACCCGAGAGGTGTGGCAAGATAGAATGGATAATGCGCAGTGCCTCAAGTGTGGCACTGCGGGGCATGTCATTGCCTTTTGTCCGTTGATTAAGAACTTAAAAGGGAGCAGCCAGTAGGAATAACATCTGTTCCTACAGAGTCGGAGGGTGCGATCACATGCGAGGTGCCTACGATCCCTTTCCACACTCCGACTCCCGGGGCAGAGGATGGAAACCCTTCCGCCCGTCGTTCAGACCACCCTACTCCTGTCTTATGCATGTCTCTGGACGACTCCCTTGACGAGCTGGGTAGCGAGTTAGTCGCGTTACGCAGTTCGTGGGCGAAGAAAGCCAAGTCTAAGGGTGAGTTGTTGATTGCTGACTTGGTAGTCAATCGCACACACATTGGTGTGATGTTGGACCCTGAGTCCACACGATCTTACATGTCTGAACGTGCAATCCGCAAGTTGCATCTCGGCATGAAGATCTAGACTTTGTCTAAACCGATCACGTCTATGTTCGCTGACAAAAGCACGATGACGGTAACGCAGTACGTCGATCGTGTTCGTTGTGAGTTCAGTACCAAGGATGGAAAGAAGATTTGGCATGAGCTTCCCTTCCTGATCGAGAAGAACATGCCGTTTGATATCATCTTGGGAATGGATTGGCACGAGGAAGCTGATCCCAAGATTGATTTCAAACAGAAAGAAGTAAGAATTAAGGATGAATCGTCTGAGTTACAACCGATTAAGTTGTATCATCGGTCAGGGTCTGATTCTGTCTTGTCTTTTTGCTGTATGAGCTACCCTGCATTCCGATCGATGGTTGCAAAGAAGAAGTTAGAGGATGAGGTAGTAATGTTGTTAGTTAAGAAAGTAGGTGAGTCTTCAACTACCCATCCTCYTGGCATAGATGCACTCCTAACGRAGTTTGCCGATGTTCTGTCTGAACCAACCGGGGTCACTTCGCGTGCTATCAAGCACACGATCGAGATTGTGCCCGGTAGCAAGGTTCCCAAGGGCCCTATCTATCGCTTGTCTCCAAGGGAACTTGAGGAACTTAAGAAACAACTGTTTGAGTTGACGGAGAAGGGATGGATTCGCCCTAGCTCCTCTCCTTATGGTGCACCTGTCTTGTTTGTGCCCAAAAAGGAAGGTGAGCTGCGCCTTTGCATCGACTACCGAGGGCTGAATGCCGTCACCGTCAAAAACGTCGAACCTTTGCCAAGGATCGACGATCTCTTGGATCAGTTGCAGGGTTGTCGAGTCTTTAGCAAGATCGACCTTAAGTCTGGGTACCACCAGATCGAGGTGGATCCCGCCGATCAGCATAAGACCGCGTTCCGTACGAGATATGGTCATTACGAGTTCATCGTGATGCCATTTGGTCTAACGAACGCACCTGCGACCTTCCAAAGGTCAATGAACGAGTTGTTTAGGCAATGGCTCGACGACTTTGTAATCGTCTACTTGGATGACATTCTAGTGTATAGTAAGACACTAGACGATCATCATCGACACCTTCGTCTAGTACTCGGGAAGTTACGCGAAGGTAACTTCAAACTCAACCCAAAGAAATCCGAGTTCGCTAAATCTGAGGTCCTGTACTTGGGACATATAGTGAACGAGGAGGGATTGAGGCCCGAGGAAAGAAGATCTCGGCGATCAGAGATTGGCCACAGCCGAAGACTCTGACAGACCTGCGATCTTTCCTTGGATTAGCAAGTTACTATAGGAAGTTCGATAGGAACTTCTCAATTATCGCTGCTCCAATGAGAAGATTGCTCAAGAAAGGTACTATCTGGCTGTGGGACAAGGATTGTGAGTCATCCTTTCGAAAGCTGAAACACGCTTTGACCCACTATCCTATTCTTAAGATTGCCGACCTGTCTCTTCCTTTCATCGTCACAACTGACGCAAGTCAGTACGGTGTTGGCGCTGTCTTACAACAAGACGACGGCAAGGACTACCGCCCTATTGAGTTCATGTCTAAACGTCTGCCGTGTGAAAAGGTCGCCAACTCCACCTAAGAAAGGGAGTTGTATGCATTAGTCTGCGCCCTAGAGACATGGAAACACTATATCCTTGGCAGACATTTTACTGTGTATTCGGACCACTCGATCCTCAAGTGGATCAAGACACAACCTCGATTGTCTGACAAGTTGGTGCGTTGGTCTGCTTTCATCGATACCTTCGATTTCGAACTCAAAACTATTAAAGGTAAGTCTAATGTTGTAGCAGACGCACTATCTAGGAGGAGTGATTTCTTTGGGGCTATAGTATCTTACCTGGATGTTGGGAATGATGTGAAAGATCAGATTCGCGCTGGATATGCCACTGACCCTGTTTGGAAACCAATCATGGATATCCTAGCCAAGGACCCATCCCAACTTCCTCACTATCGATTGTCTGATGGCTTACTCTTCTTTTTGGACCAGACGGAACAGAGATTGTGCATTCCTCACAAGGAAGAACTTAAAAGTCTATTGATTGGGGAATGTCATGACACAAAGGGACACTTTGGTTTCAAGAAGACGTATGCTGAGGTGCGTGAGCACTATGAATGGAAGGGTTTAAAAGAGGATGTACTAACGTATGTTCGTACGTGCCAAGTATGTCAGAGAAACAAACCGTCTCATGAGAACCCTTTGGGTTTACTCCGACCACTACCTATTCCGAGTGAGCCAGGTGAGTYTGTGTCCATAGACTTCATGAAACTCACCAAGTCTCGAAATGGCAATAGTCAAGTTATGGTTGTGGTTGACCGTTTCTCTAAATATGCCATGTTCATACCCTTG